GCTAGTTGCAAGGGTTATATGAAGGGGGCTGGTAGCAAACATATTTAATGTGCTATAAATGTCTCTGCCAGAGATGACAATAAGTGCTAACAAAAACCAAGCAGAGGAAGCTGACATTGATAGGAGTGCTGCTTCACAAAGGATGGTCAAAGACAACCTCTCTGAGAAAGTCATATTTGAATAAGCCACAAAGGAAGTGAGGAAATGGAAGGAAATGTTCTACTCTTGAGGAAACTAAGGAATAGCAAAGAAGCCAGGTGGCTAGAGCAAAGCAAGTGAGAGGGCGATGGGAATTAGGACCTAGATCACATAGGACTTCAGAGACAAGAACTCTGGATTTTATTCTGAATTGGGAAAATATCAAGGTTGACCTGCTCTTTGGTTTTGAAAAGTCACTTTGGTGATTGTGTAGAAAAAAAAAAAAAAAGACTGTAGGAGGCTAGGATGGAAGTTGAGAGAAATACATACCAGTCACCCACGTGGAAGATCCCAGGGCTGGGCCGGGCTGTAGCATGCTCCTGGATGATAGTCACATGCTCTCCTCTTTTCTCAACCACCAGATTCTCTCTCCCTTTACTCACGCTCAGCTTTTATTAAATTATCAACAATCAGAACAGAAATTCCATGTGCATCTGTTACAGAAACATAAGGGGTCCTGTCTATGTCCTGCTCACTGCACAGCTAATCACAGAGACGATTATTGCTGAAGAAGAAGGCTTCAATCACCTGTTGCAGCCAAAGAGATGGGAGGTCAGTCTAAGTCCATCTCCCTGACTGACTAAAATTTGGGGTTTATATAACAGGGAAGAAATACAACAATGTGTTGGAAAACAGGAACTAGGGAGGGGAGAGGAAACAAAAGGGAAGGTCAGAATGTGGTGATCTGTTAAGTTTCAGTTCTTTGATACTTTTTGAGAGGCCAGGGGTCCTTCCTGAGAAAGAAACTCAGATGAAACAAAGTTTAGAGCTTTAAGAACAGAAAGTCATTTTCTATGTTTAGCCAAAAGAACTATCTGCGAGACTATTGGGTAGGTTTCATATCCAACAATAAATCTACCAAGCTTTCTGTATCTGTGGCCAGCCATTCCATTCCCCTTCTCTTGTTTTTTCCTTATCCAAGGATGACTCCTCCAATCTACTCAAGATTTTCCTTCCTACAGCTGTCACTCTCTTGGACATCCCGTTACTAGAGCACTTGTATTAGCATATAAATATTTATTTTATTTTTTTTGAGACGGAGTCTGACTCTGTCGCCCAGGCTGGAGTGCAGTGGAGCCATCTCAGCTCACTGCTTGAACCTCTGCCGCCGGGGTTCAAGCAATTCTCCTGCCTCAGCCTCCTGAGTAGCTGGGATTACAGGAGCCTCCCACTATGCCCGGCTAATTTTTGTATTTTTAGTAGAGACGGGGTTTCACCGTCTTGACTAGGCAGGTCTGGAACTTCTGACCTCGTGATCCACCTGTCTCGGCCTCCCAAAGTGCTGGGATTATAGGCGTGAGCCACCTCGCCCGCCCACATATAAATTTTTAAACAGAAAACCTCAACCCTGCATCTCTTACCTGCTTTGATCCTATTTCCCTGCTATCCTTTGCAGCAAGAGAGCAATGACTGTATTTACTTGTCATCACCATCTGTTATCACAAGAATCATGCTTTTAACCCTACTGCTTAATTGCTCTGTTCCCAAGGTCTCAGTGATCTCTACACTGCCTGTTCAGAGGTCAATACTCAACTGACTCAGCCTCTCAGTGCAAATGACACCTTCAGTCACTTCTCTCCTGAAACATTTTCTTCACTTACTCAGAACTCCTCTGTTTCAGTTCTCCTCTTACCTCTGATTGCTTCTAAGTTTCCTTCTTATCTCTACAGTGCCACATGTCTAGTTTTCAATCTCTTGCTGCAATTATGCAGTTAGGACTTAAGGAAGTTCTAGATTGGTGACTTTCAATGATTTTCTTTTCTCTTTCTTTTTCTTTTTATTTTTTTAAGATGGAGTTACACCATGAAGCCCCGGCTGGTCTTGAACTCCTGACCTCAGGTGATCCACCCACCTCAGCCTCCCAAAGTGCTGGGATTACAGGCCTGAGCCACTGCGCCCAGCCTCAATGATTTTCAAACTGTAGGCCACAACTGTTACTGGGTTAAAAAAATTCAGCTGAGTTGGGAGTCAAAAATTTAAAGAGAAGATATTGTGCATCACACATAGGAATGGTAAATTTGTTTCTGGGAACTTTTAAATGATATACAGGTATTTGGTTAATATGTAAAATGTATTTTGTATTTTGGGTTGAGGTGAAAGATAAAAAAATTACTGCTCTTGGCTGGTTGCTGTAGCTCACGCCTGTAACTAGCACTTTGGGAGGCTGAGGCAGGTGGATCACAAGGTCAAGAGATCGAGACCATTCTGGCCAAAATGGTGAAACCCTGTCTCTACTAAAAACACAAAAATTAGCCAGGCATGGTGGCGCATGCCTGTAATCCCAGCTACTTGAGAGGCTGAGGCAGAAGAATCACTTGAACTGGGGAGGCAGAGGTTGCAGTGAGCCGAGATTGCGCCACTGCACTCCAGCCTGGCAACAGAGTGAGACTCTGTCTCAAAAAAAAAAAAAAGAAAATTACTGTTCTTTGTGATCTCATTTAATCATGTGGCTTTTTGAATAGCACTGCCTAATCTTCTATCTCGCCTCTGAATTCCAGTGCACTGAACTCTAGTCTGGTGAAACCGTATCTTTATTAAGGTTATTAATAAAAATCTTATATCAAGGCAACAAAAAAATAAATAAAAAGGAAAAGGCATTTAGACTTGGGACCAGGAAATGTGAATTCAAGGCTGGCTGTACCACATCATAGCTTTGCAACACTTTAATAGGTTATTGCTAGTTTATTCCTTTGTTTGCAAGCTCCCCATTAGTCCTTACATTCATCTATTCTAGTGGGAATACTAGTGTATCTGCTGTGTTAGATTGGGTGCTATTATAGAGCCATGTATAAGAGGCCATTATACATTTGCTGTATATTTTGTCATACATTACACATTTTCTTTTTTGCAATGAAACTCTTTAAAGAACGGGAACATGGTTGATGTATTTAACCATTTGGTGGGGAGTCAGTGTGACTGGCTCTGGGGACAACACTGGTCACTTGGCTCAAGCCTGAATTCTTTTTTTTTTTTTTTTGAGATGGAGTTTTGCTCTTGTTGCCCAGGCTGGAGTGCAGTGGCACGATCTTGGCTCACTACAACCTCCACCTCCCAAATTCAAGCGATTCTCCTGCCTCAGCCTCCTGAGTAGCTGGGATTACAGGCATGCACTACCATGCCTGGCTAATTTTGTATTTGAAGTAGAGACGGGGTTTCGCCATGTTGGACAGGCTGATTTTGAACTCCTGACCTCAAGTGATCCACCCAAAGTGTTGGGATTACAGACCTGAGACAGCACTCTCAGTCGGCAATCCCTTCTTGAACTCACTCCAGGTGGCAAGAATCTGGACCCAGGACCTGGACACGTTCAAGCTGTCAGCCCCCTTTCCCTCAGGACTCTGACCTCTTATACTAATATTCTGTTGTCAAAGACCATATATGGTTAACATTTACCCAGCACTGTATGTGCTGGGCACTTAGGAGTGTTATATAGGCATTACCTCATTTTGTCTCATAACCGCTTTATTCAGTAGGTATCTTTTAGATAGCTGGAGGGAGACTCAGAAAAGTTAAGGAAATTGCCTAGACAGTAGTGCCTGAGGCAGGACTCACCCTAGTTTTGCCTTCATGAGTACTGCTTGTCAGCCCTGCATAGCCCACAGATCTCTATGGAACTACAAAGGTTCTGCCACTTCCTGCAGAAGAATGGCAGGATTCCATATCCATAGATCAGTCAACCAACTGTTTGCTCATCAAGCCTGGCCTAGGCATAAGCTATACCAATGGAAGATATTGGTGCTCCCTTCATGGAACACCCGCTGCCAGGAGCAGAGTCAACCAGGTTGTGGCAACTGGCCTTGATAACCTATTTCCATAGTAAAAGACAAATGGAGAAAATTCACCATTTTCTGCTCTTTGCAATATTGCATTCTAGCTGTGTTATAGAAATGAAGATGTTTTGACCTTGCTGATCTGGAGGATATTTTGAGCACTCTTTTGAACCTGACAATCTGCTCTTTACTTAGCCAACTATGCAAAGTGGTCAGAATTGTAGGGAGGAATTGATTAGGTATTGATAGATCACTCCTGGACAACAGAACAACTGTGGAATATTTGAGAGGATTTGCTTATAATTAATTCTTGAATTTAATAAAAAATCCAAATTATTCATCTTTTAAGAATTTTTTAATATGGGAGAAATAAAATTGCAGTGGTTGAAACTATTTCTGCGAAGTCTGATCTAGGAAAATTGGATTTGGTAGACAATGATGAAAGTGACAGATGAATAATTAGGAAAATCTGATGTTGACAAAAGCCGAATGCAGAATCAAATATTTAGACGTCTGTATATACACAAAGACGAATCTCCATAAAAAATTAAAAAGAAAACCTTAAAACTAGGAAGTTTCTCTGGCTGACAGGGTTATGTTGTCGGCATCTGCCTTTCAGTCCAGATTAGGGAGCGAGAGCAAACAAAAATCTGTCAAGGCAAAAACTGACATTATTACTTCCCTTTCCCTCCCGTTTGATAGCCTCAGGTAAGAAAATATTTTCCATTTTTTTCTCCCAAGTACAACATCGTTTTGCCAGACAAAATTCCCTTTCCTTCCAAAACCCTTACGTTAATAACATATGGTAGCAGGCCCAGGAGACACTAAATGACAAAGGCGGAGCTGGGGAAGTCTCTTCCGTTCCAAGCCGGGTGGGTTCTCGCCGGGGCACAGCGAAAGGGTGGAAGCACACAAGGGCCGCGCAGCCGCACCCGCGGCAGCCCGCCCCCAGCGCGCCGTCGTCGCCAGGGCAACGCCTCCGCCCAACCCTGGCGGGCCGGGGACGCTCGCGTCACGTGACCTGCCAGTCGGCGTCCTCCCGCGGAGGAGTGTAAACAGGCGACGCGCTGGCGGAGGTGCGGCCCTGCGGCGTCCGCGTCTCGGGCATGCTCCAGGCAGGCTGGGGCGGTCGCGCTGCCAGCTCGGAGCCCACCTGAGGTAACTCCAGTGGTCTCTAGGACTGGCGTCTCCCACGCCGCGCGCAGCCGCCGCCGCTGGCCTCCAATAAGGGCGGCCGAGCCCCCAGCCCGGGCAGGGGGTGTGGCTGCCGGCCGCGCAGTCCGCGACAGGTGGGTCGGGCGGGGGCGACCGCCGCGGTCCCTGCCCTGCGCTGCCCCTGGGCTGGGGGCCTGGCGTGGAGCCTGCGGAGAGGCGGCGCGACTCCGGGCCGTGGGTCCTTCCGCCCCGGTGCTTGCGTCTGTCCCTGGGCCGGGCCGAGCCGAACCGGGAACCGCCGGGGCAGTCGGCTCGGAGGGCGCTAGGCCGGCGTCCCCGGGTCCCAGGTGAAGCCCTTTCCCTGCCGGGCTGCGAGACTTTGGGCCCGGCAGCCCTCGTCCTTGGCCTGAGCTCGCGCATCTGTGCAATGCAGTCTCGGACTGGGGACCCGTGAGGACCTTCCACGTCTGACGTGTGACCCTGGGAGACCCGCGTGCATGGAGGGTGCCGGAGGGGAAGCATAGGTAGCTCTTCTGTCCTTTAATTGCTAACTTCTCTTTGCTCTTTAAATCGGTTTTCATCTTAAAAGTTGGATTCCTGTCCACCTGGGTGAAGTTTTTAATATGAAACTTACCGGGTGGGGGTTATAATGGGTTTATGTTACCGCTTTATGTTTCTTTAATGCAACAGAACCTTTTTTTCTCAAAACTGTTCCGATGTCCAAATTGTAAAAATAAATAAATAAAAATGGAAACGTTTTCTGCCTCGCTATCACTCTTCTCACCCCCACGCTGACTACCCTTAAGGACCCCTGGGAGTCATAGGTAGAGGAGCTCCATGTGGAGTTGAGGAGATGCTTTGTGTGCTTTTTGATTTGCTGGGATCTGGAAAATGAGTTCTTTACATGTGTGGAGTTTTCTATTAATTTTCTCTTTATTTTGTTAGATTGCATGCTATGTAATTACAGAGACAAGTAGTATAACTCTCACATACCAAAAAAGCCCCTGAAATTTCTGATAAAGACTTCTTCCATCTTTTCTTGCATCCCAGTCCCTGGGGAAGTGAGTGTATGTTTATAATAGTGAGACTTCATGCCTCATTGCTGATTTAGTTGCTCAGATACAGAATGGAAGTGGAAGACTTTTGAGCCAACCGAATGGGTTAGGACATATGTGAAAAATATAAAAACGCTAAAAAATATGAAAGCTGAAGGAGCATAGGAATTAAAGTCGTTAAGAGTCATGGAATAATGTGAACATGATCCTGTGCGAAATCTTGAGACCCTGAAGCAAGAAAATTGTGGATTTTGAGAGAACTGAGTTTAGGAGAAAAGGATGTTCTATTTCATATGGTGAGTGAACATATAAAAACAGAGTATGGGGTAGTAGTGTGTAGACAAAAGTACCAGGATTTTTTTTTTTTTTTTTTTTAGAGTAATGCATAGTTTCCTAATTGTTTTTGGAGACTAGGGTTCTGAGAGATGTACTAAACTTGAAGTTTAATGTTAAAAGAGGGAAATCATACCCTTTTACAGCTTGTCTGCTTGGTGCTTCTGTGAGTTGATCAAGAATTGGAGGTGGAATGGACTATAAGTGGTACCCAAGGTGACCTAGTGTAAAGGTTTTCTCTTTTCAAAGCCAACTTCCCTCATCTATAAGCAGCTTAAGCAAGTTAGTTCCTTTCTTTGGTTCTCAGTTTCTACTGCAAAATGAGGAAATTGGATTGATTACTTTTCTATCTTTTGGCTCCAGCTAGACTCGCCAGATAAAATGCAGGAGGCCTAGTTGATACGAATCTTGGATAAACAGTGAATACATTTTTAGTATAAATACTACATGGGGGCATACTTGTACTGAAAAAAGTGATTTGTTGTTTGTGTGAAATTAAAGTATAACTGTGCTTGCTGTATTTATATTCGCTAAAGCTGGCAGCCTTAGTTCCAACATTTTGTCTCCTTTAAGTTAGTGCCAGGAAGAAACTAGCTTAAAGCAGAGCTGGAATGAATTGATTCAAGCAGCCAAGAAACCCTATTTGTTGTCACTTGTAGCGTCTGGTTCTTGAGGGATGTCGTTGATTCACTTGTGGTTTCTCATTTTTCTCCTTTTTCCTTGCCATTTCTGTCATAATCACATGATGTTTAGGTTTATACTTTTGGTAGTAAGTAGTTTAAAATGTCTGAAAGCAAATTAAAAATATTGCTGAAATTTCTAAAAGTAACCTCATTTTTTTGAGCCTTGAAATGGTATGTGCTTTCCCCCCTGTAAAAGATACCTTACAAACCTACCTGTTCCCCAAGTTGGTGGTTGACTGCAAGGCATTCTCTAAATTCGTGGACTGTCCTAACCCTTAGGAAGGTGTTCTTATGCCTTCTTATTCTGTCCCCTATGAATATGGAAAATTGTCATTATATGCACTATAAACATTTTATATTTTATCTGACTGTTGTCAGCTTTGTCTTTGCTGTATTGAAGGGTTTTCAATTTTGAAATTCTTTTTCAAGGAGTGTAATTTAAAACTTTTCATTTCTTCGAGTTCTTTTTTTTTTTTTTTTTAATAATTAGGCCACATCTAGTTTCTTAACTCACTTGGAAATACCTGAATTTTCTAATTCATTTATTCATTCAGTAGTCAAAAAAGAAATTGGTATGTTTGGAGAGCCAGGTTGATGTTGTGACCAGTGTTCTAGTTTTCCAGGTGCTTATTTCTGATAGACGAGTTAAAACGTGTAATCTGAGGATAATGGCGATGAAGGCTTTGAAGAGGTACAAATGCTACGGAAATTGAGAGGAGGGATGGGTGCCGCCCTCAGGTTGATAGATTGAAGAGAAAAGCTTTCTGGAGGAGGTAGAAGTGAATCCAAGACATGGAGGTAAAGGCGGGATCAGGAAGACAGAGGTGGACAGAATAGTGGAAAGAAGCAGAGAAGGATGGGGAATCTGTCTTCTCAGTTCCACAAAACATACACTTTGTTGGATTTAAAATACTTCACAGTATTGTGTATGTGTGGTTTTTAGTTCACTGTGATGCTCTCATCTGCTTTATGTTTGGATTGAACCACTTTGGTGTCTTTCTGTATTAGAAAGACCTTCAGTTGTCAGTGAAGCTCTTTGTAAGAATGTTTACTAAATATGTCACACGTATAAAAACATGCATTGAAAAAATAGAATATTATCAATATCATTGAAACCTCCTGTGTACTTCTTCCTTCCTCTCAGAAGTAACCAGCACGCTGAATTGTGTGTCTATCATTTCTTTGTTTTCTTTTTTCTTTTTTGAGACAAGAGTCTTGCTCTGTCACTTAGGCTGAATGGAGAGCAGTGGTGAAATCTCGTCTCATTGCAACTCTGCCTCTTGGGTTCAAGTGATTCTCCTGCCTCAGCCTCTCTAGTAGCTGGGACTACAGGCATGGGCCACCATGTACTACTAATTTTTGTGTTTTTTGTAGAGACTGGTTTTTACCATGTTGGCCAGACTGGTCTCAAATTCCTGACCTCAAGTGCTCTGCCTGTCTTAGCCTCCCGAAGTGCCAAGATTACAGATGTGAGCCACTGTGCCTGGCCTGCTTTCTTGATAATGTTATTTTACTTAATATGTATATATCACCTTAAAATGTTTGCTTATGCATATTTTTGAACTTTATATAAATGGGATCATGCTATGTGCATTTTTTTCCTGCAACTTTTTAACTTAAATTAGGTTACTAAGTGTCTTCCATGTTTTTCCTGAAAGGTAAGAATTTATCTGGAATATACATCTAGCATAGGAGTTTGTTGCTTGTCCACTGTGTACAACAGTAACTTTACTAAATACAAATTGCTTTCCAAGGTAGTTGTACTGTTTTACTGTCCTACAAGCAGTGTGAGAGTTCCTGTTATTCTGTCTACATGCTCCCCAGTGTTTGGTATGAGAAAACCATGTATCTATTAAAGGTCTAGTTTCCAAAGTAGTTAAGGAACTCTTATACCTCAGTCATGAAAAAGAAGAACTCAAAAAATGGACACAGGGTTTGAATAGACATTTCTTCAGACGAGACATAAAAATGGCCAGTAAGTACATGAAAAGGTGTTTGACATCATTAGCCACCATGTAAATGGAAATCAAAACCACAGTGAAATACCATGTTACACCAACTAACTAACTAAGATGGTGACTAAGTAAGCATCTTAGTAAACTAAGATGGCTGTGTATAATCAAAAAGACATGTAATAATAAGCGTTGGTGAGGTTGTGGAGAAATTGGAATCTACATGTTGGAATGTAAAGTGGTGCTGCAACTGCTTTGAGAAACAGTTCTGGCTGTTCTTGAAATGGCTAAATATGAGATAAAGCATGACAAAGCAGTTCCACTCTTAGGTATATAGTCAAGAGAAATGAAAACATATCTGTGTTGTGTGTAAATGTTCGCAGTAGCAGTCGTCATAAGAGCCAAAAAGTTGAAACAACTCAAACATGTATCAGCTGAAGCATGGTTTAAATAATGTGGTTTATCCCTGCAGTGGACTATTATTCAGGCATAAAAAGGAATGAAGTACTGACTCATGCTACAAATGGATGAACCTTGAAAACATTATTCTAAGTGATAAAAGACAGTCTCAAAAGGCCACATATTGTGCAATTACATTTTTATATGGAATGTCCAGAATAAAATATAGAACCCTTTTAAAAGGGTCTAAAAAGCATTTATAGACTGAACATATACCTATGTGTATATATGCTGAGATTTTATGCGAAATAGTTAAATGCATGTATACTCACAGGAAACGCCCCGAAGGATGTTAAGCAAATTGTTACTGATTATGTCTAGGTGGTGGGAATTTTAGGTGATTTTAAAAAATGATTTAACTTTTCATATTTTTTGATTTATTCTTTTCAATGAACATGTCTTGGCAAAAGAAAATAAAAAAGTTCTTTTCTGTTACGTAGAAGTTTGATTATCTAGATGTTTTTATATATTTATTTATTTATTTTAAAGATGGGGTTTTGCCATGTTGCCCAGGCTGGTCTTGAACTCCTGATCTCAGGCAGTCCACCCACCTCGGCCTCCCAAAGTGCTAGGATTACAGGCTTGAGCCACTATGCCTGGCTGATGTTTTCATTTTTTAAATATTTAGTAGACATTATATTTATAAATTACATATGGAATTTAAGTGCTGTTATTCTGTAATCACCAGTTAGGAACAATCAACATTGTATTTGATGCCCTTGGCCTCCCCTCTCTGACCTCATTCTGTTATGTCCCAGAGACATAACTGCTACCCTGAATTTTGCTTTTATTATTTCATTGCTATAGTTTTACCACATTTGTATCTCTAAGCCATGTTGTTTTTCCCTATGTGCTATTGAACTTTATAACTAGAACTGTATTGTGTATATACTTCTTTCACTTGCTTTTTTATTCCATATGAGATTTGGGACTCATTGGTATTTTTGTGTGGCTGTAGTTCATTGGTGTCTCATTGTCTTACTGTGTTACATTATGAATATTCCATAATTTGTTCTTTGTAGTATTGATGAATGACTGGATT